TTGATCGGATATCAGAAAGTATGTGTTTGAAAAATTGAACTAAACACTATTTTTTAAAGAATTTAATAAACAGTTTTTCGAACACATGCTTTCTGATATCCGATCAACTTGATTTTTTACAGGTATGATATACTGAATAAATCATAAAATATGAACGGTTCGGATTATCAAAATTGGGCCTAAAACTAGACCCGAAAACCTGCAAGGACGGGCGCAAGGATGAGAGCTGCAAGGAGAGGATCCTCATTCGTTAGGGTGGATCTTGTGTGCGTTTCCTTGGATTTTATTGTGGAATGTCTGGACACGTGGCTGTGTGGAGCCTCTATCTGATTGGATGATATTTTTTAAATAAATAAAATTGTTTTGGAATATTCAATTAACAATGTTTCTCGCTAAACAATTCAGGATGTAATTGGGATGAGCGTAACCAAGTTTGGGTTAAATTTCTCAAAATCCAAATCCAAATCCAAATCTAATTAACAGTGTTTCATGTTTTTGTTAAGGATATAATTCAGGTGAGTTTAACATAAGTTTGGATTAAACATCTCAAATCTTTACCAAGGTCACCTAAATTTAGTTTAAAATTTTTGAGTTCATATAGAGTTTGAAAATCTATAACAATATACAACTTTCGATTTTATAAATGACGAAATGCAACTTTGAACTATAGAGAAATAGTGCCAATAACATACAATCAAAAAAACAAAAAGCGTCATTAACCTAGAAATTATTTTTTTGATACTGTAACCTAGAATTATTTTGCGTAATTAGGGTCAAATATTGATTCTAAACACGTGTATGCAACATTTTATAATGCATTCCATAAATAAATAAATAAATAAATAAAAGGAGGAAAAAAAAAAATCAGCCTTCAAACAGCAATGCAATAAAGTTTCAGAATTATTACAGCTTTAAAATCATAATTTCATTCAAATTAAATCATAAATTCATCAACTCACAATAAGCCTCCCAAGTCTAATTTCAATAAATTTCCACCCTATCTGCACATCCCTTTAACTGTTCACTTTCAACCAACTTGTTATAGCAAAATACTCTAACGCTATGTTTGGTTAGAAGATTTGGAGAGAACTTTGAAAAGGAAAAAAAAAAAAAAAAAAAGTGTGAAATTAAATGAAATTTATGAATATTTTATTCACATTTCACTATCTTTTCAATTTTTCTTTCCAAATCTCTCGTCAAATCCCCAACCAAACACAACATAGAGATACGAAGTATAGAATCAGAATCAGAATCAGAATCACAATGGGAGTACTGAATAATTACCCGCTTGAAGCCAAATGAGAAAAATATATATATACATATATCTCAGAGAAAACTGCTGCTGTCGCATACAAAATTAAAATTGTATATAATTACAGGAACTAGCATGCTTGATAGCCTAAAAAACCGAGATGTGAAATAAAATGTAGCAGCAACTCAGGATGGTGGTCATTCTCACTAAACATCAGCAAAGTATTTTTCTTCAGCATCGTGACGGGCCTCCCTCAACCAGTGGTCATCCAATGTCTCGTCCTCATCGATTTTTGAGTAATCTAAATGCTGATGATCTTCCCCTGACAGAAACTTTTGCTGCATGATGTGGGTGAATTGGTCCATTCGATCTTGCATCTCCTCTGCAGATAAAGTTGCTCCCTCTGTGTGCCTCACAGTGGCGGATTGCTCATTACTGAAGGCATCGTGATTTTCTGAAAGCATCTGCTTGAAATCAGAAAAAAGCAGGAATCAATCAGTAAAAGAATGGGAGTGTAGAAAACTTAGTATGGGAACTGCAATGATAAAGTTCAATGAAACACACACAACACAACACACATAGATTAGGCAAGAAGGAACTAGGAATGTCGGTAAAATCATATATCACCTTGAAACTTCCAAATGTTCCCATGAGGTCAGAGAGGGGGAAAAGAGAAGGTGATTTAATTTAACTAAGGAGGCTTTCAAATTTTTAGATTGCACTCACTCAACCTAGAAAAACAAATATTTGAACATATAATAGGTGGCATGATATCTCTATTTGGTTTTATCTCTACTGCTTTTTTGTAAGTATCTCACTGTACCATATCTTTCAGTAAGTAGTATCCATGGTGCAACACTTATAAGCCTAGTATGCTATCGATTGCATTCTTGACTTGTGCTTGTTGAAATCCAAAAATGTGTCCTCAACTTTAAAGAAAGACCATTGAGGTTTTTAGTTGTCTTCACAATGAATAACAAAACAACACCATAACGACAACGTCTTCATTTAAAAAGTAATTGTCCTTGTTCCATAGTACTCGCAATATCAAAAATCCAAATTCATCTTAATGAATGAAAACAAAAGTATGAAATTTTGAAGCCTTTGTGTTACAAGAAGTGCAAGAGAGAAAGGGCTAGAGGCATTGCGTCAGTCATTTATTTGTTTCCCCTCATTCGTCCAGTTCTCATCCACCCAAAATAAGGAGACTGTAAGTTGAAGGAAAACAGCTCATTGAGAACACAAGAATTTCTGCTTAGTTAAGCATTAGTTTGAATCATGGTTTTGAGCAAGGTGAACACTTCTAACTTTTCCCACTTAAAAGGTCAGAACAACTACCTACATCCTCCCAGTAGCATTATGAGCAAACCAATTTCAAAGATGTTTGATCATGTTTCACAGTGTGTTAAACAGGCTTAGGTATGTGTCTAGTGCCAGTATGCACCAAAGCATCATATCCTTCTAACCCTTAAATTAGACACTACTACAGAGTCTAAAAGACGGATATATGTACTAATAAACGAAGTACAAATAAAAACAAAAATAGAGAATGATAAGCTAAAGTCTACGAAGGAATGTGAATGGCTGGCATTATTAGATATAATCTATGAAGGAACAATAGAAGAACAACAAAAGTCTAAAAAAAAAAATAAAGATATTTGTTAGGAACTAACTTTGTTATGAAATTTAGCAAAAATCCATCAATCACTTGAGGATCCAGAAATGGTAGACCATAAAAACAACACATTAGCCTATGCAATATACTCCCAGGAAAATGATAAAACAAGAACCTCAAACAAGTGAGGCATCTTCTACAATGATTGACTCAATAAAAATTCCATGAAGTGACATCCTACATTTCATTTCTTGCAATTAATAGATGGGTCAATGAATGCAGGAAGTTTTCAACAAGGATCTGATGTGGTGAATTTCATAATACAGCCTACAATGCCTCAAAGAGCCTTTTCCTCAGCTACTTGAAGCAACACATGCCTCTATTAAATCTTGATCAATTAACAATAGCAACTACTGGTGATCTAGTTAGAATTTCACAATTTAAATCAATGCAAACAACTACCAATTGCATCTTCACATTGTAAGAATGTTTCTTAAGAGAAGCAAGACTCCATTCACAATAACTGCATCGTAGGTTATTCATGCTGAACTCAAGTAGTAAAGAAACATAAAAAGCTTCTTGTTTTGATAGTAACAAAAAAATTGAAAAGGACCAGCCTTCACGTTGAAAGCAAGTTGCACTGCAAAACCTAAATTAATGAAGCAAGTAAAGGGTCATAGTCAGCACAAACAATCACAATCCACAACTAAACAAGAAGCAACAAATCTACATACTAGTAAGGATAAATAATAATCAATGCATGAAGAAATAGTTCACCCCAAAAAATTACCCCCAAAGGATGTGATGTCCCATTAGCAACAAGGCTCTCTCCATCTTCTGTTTCTTTTCTTTCTTCATCTTCATCTTCATCTTCCTCTTCTTCCTCCTCCTCCTCCTCCTCCTCCTCCTCCTCTTGTTGTTCTCTCTCATTCCCAACCCAATCCCTCTGAGCCACACCCAATCTCTGCTGCTCCCTTCTAATCTTCTCCACCAAAATAGCCTCCTCCGACCGCCTCATCAGCGTCTCCGACCACCGCTCTCCTGGCCTCGCCATTCTCCTCCCGCTTGGGTCCTGAAACTTCCCCAAATACTCATGGTGCAAGTAGGGTTCTCTCTCCCTCATGGCATCCTCCGAAAAGTACTTCCCATCACAAATCAACCTGTCCATGTACGCCCTCCTCCGGTTCTTGATCTTCTTAGACCTAGACCTCAATTCCTTCGTCGTTGGGCTAATTAAGCTCCGCAGATTATTTAAATGCCAATTGATTTCATAATCGTCTTTCATAAATTCGAATTTTTTAAGCTCCTCAAACGTCAATTGCGTTCCGTATCGTTCTGAATCCACAAATCATTCAACAAAATTACGTTATGAGAAAGTAGATTATAAAATAACGTGTTCTTGTGTATGCATCGAGAGAGAGAGAGAGAGAGAAGAGTACCTAAGAAGACGGCGAGGTCACGGGAGAGGAGGTCTCTGAGGAGGGATTTGCGTTGGGAGGGAGAGGAGGAAGAGGGTTGGAGGGCGCGAGGGAAGTAGAGGTTTTCGAGCTTTGAGAGCCTCTCTGCTATGTCTTCCATGGCTTCGCCGCTCAGACCTATCTTCTTCTTCGTCTTCTCTCTCTGCATCTCTCTCTCTCTCACTAATTTCTCTCTCTATCTTTGTTTCGATCACTGATAATCTCTCTCTCTCTCTCTCTGTCTCTTCAGCTAACTCAAATTAGGGTTTTGCTCTGAATAATTTCTGCTGTTGCTCTACGAAGGGCACCAAGGATTGTAGAGTATTTTTTTTTTAAAATTGATGTATTGTGTGGTTATGATTTAATGTTAAAAAATTAATGTGATTTGTTATTAAATCTCAACTATATAATATATTATTCTAAGAAACTTTAAGAAAAAAAAACTGTAGAAGATCCTCGCTCCTCCTAAGGAACCGACATCAGAATAGGTTTGTGTTAAAAAAAAGGATTTTATTTTAGATAACTATTTTATTGGGAGATGTATGAATCATTACATTTAATAAATTTTTAAACTAATTTTTTAGTAACTTTTTTATTTTTATTTTTCTTTTTATTGAATGCATAGTTTTTATATCATTATATGCATACATTTTTTTAATATAATTATTATTTATATATTATTTGAATATGATTTAAGTTGGTTTAATTTGGAAATATTTGAGATGATTTAAATAAATATAATTTTTGATTTTTTATATAAAAAAACATAAAATATGAATTAAATTTGAAATGATTTAGTAAAGAGATAATATAATTTAAATAAAAAAATTATAACTAAAATAAAATAATATATATTATTTTAACACATGTCAACGTGGGGGAGCAAAGAGAGTTCTATAGATACAGCATCCAAAATCATAATTTGACTGGACTCAAATTAAGAACCACACACAAATATATAGAATAAAAATTACATACATCCTGTCTTTTTTAAAATTACAACATAATCCTATATTTTAACCTCATGCATACTCTCTAAAAAAAAATAAAAAATAAATAAAAAAACCCATCTATCATCGCTAGCTATTACTGACTATCAATATCCACAGCAACAAAGTCCTGTCCCAAGCCCAAGCCTTGTTGCTCTTGCAATGGGTACCTTGCCATCTCAACTAATTCAATTTCAACTTGAGGAGGTGCTTCTGCTTCTGCTTCTTGTTGAGTGATGCAAATGATGTTGAGATCAGGAATGGACCGGAATTTGCAACGAAGCCAATGATAAATCTTCATAAGCACATTCACAACAGAACCATATTGCCAAGGACAGATATCCATGCACATGATCATGAAATAGGCAACCAAAAAATGTGGTGGTGGCAAAAAGATTGAGCAAAGCAATGATAAAGCCACATGAGCCGAGAAGTCTCCCGCTCGCAAGCGAATTATTGGATTGGCAGTGACTTTCATATTGAGCTTAAGCTTGGCAGAAGTGAGGAGGAAGAGCAATACAACAATGGTTGTAAGAAGTAAGAAGGCCAACTTGAGGATGAAATGGTGATTTGAGTCCAAAAGATCATTTTGGTTCCAATTAAGCTCAAATTGGAAGTGTGTGAGCTTAGAGAGGAGGCTTATGAGAGGTGGGATGGAATACCTGAGATCCATGTAACAGGACTTTCTTTTTTTTTTGGCTTCTAACAGCTTATTGCAATTTGATCATAGGAGATTGGATTGCCTAATAGCTATATATACACACTTGTAGGGCCTACAGCCAAATGGTTTAAGGATTAAAAAGATGGCCTACTGCCAAGATGGTTTAAGGACTCAAAAGGAGGCCTACTGCCAAAATGGTTTATGGATTCAAGAGAGTGAAGTTAAAGGTTCAATGGGTCCCATTTAGGAAACAAAAATTAAAAAAGAAAAAAAACAGAACAAACAGAGAAGAAAGGTTAAAGGTTCAAATATTCAAAAGGGTCATGGTTCAATACAGTTCGCTCCAAATAATTTGAAAATGAGAAATAAGGGAGGGCCTGGTATGTTCCAAGGATTTTTGGTGTAACAGGGTCAATGCACATGTATATATAATAGTATTGTGTCACTGTCATTTCTCCAGCTTGGAAATTAGAGCATTTCAATCCGAGAAATATTTTAGAGCATTTTATGTATTTTACTTATGCCTTATATGGAAAGTTGGTTATTTTAGTGGTTAAAATTTTTATATTTGAGAAGATGGTTGAATTTTTTTTGTAGTTAGATGTTATGTTTGTAAGAAAAAAAGTAAAATATTTATAGATTTGATGTGACATTTTGTCTTATTGACTTTTTTAACTTGTTTTAACTTTTTGTGAATTTTAACTTAAACAGACCAATTTTAACCTTCGCCAAACAAGGCCTTCATAAGATTTTAATAGAACAGGTATGGGTATTTTGACTCATTTTGGGTTAACTAATTATAAGAGTCTTAAAACATCTCTAATGATAGAATTAAAAAAGTGTGTTAAAATGTGTGTTATATGACATAAAATATGAATAATAAGACCTATTTACATATTAAGTATTTGTTAATTTAAAGAGTGGGTGTGTTTTTTAGTGATATAATTAAACTGTTTATTAAAGTATATTATATAAAATAATATATATGCATATGCATATATATATATATAAATTAAAAAAAAAAAAATTGGTCACTGCCCCCCTCTACATGTCATTCACAATCCAATCCACCCCTTCCTTTTTCAATAATGACTTGGATCTCTTTTCCCCCCTCTGCACCTGATTAGTCTCAATCATCACCCTTCCTTTTTTTCTCTTTCTCTCTCTCCTCCATGTTAACTATTTAGCTCTGGCAGTTAACAACATTTTAACTAGAAGTTAACTGACTTACAATTTAACTAAGGTTTAACTAAATCATTGGAGGGCAATTTTACACTTGGTTTTTATTAACTGTAACCAATGTGTTAGCAAATCCACTGGAGATGCACTTAAAACATCTCTAGTCGAGTCTCCAATATTGTATTTGATTAAGAGATTTATGAAAAATTTAAAAAATAATAATAAAATAAATAAAATATGAATAAAATATATTTATATTTTTACTTAATTTTTATATTCTTTTCTTTTTTCTTTTTTTTTCAAATTCTTATTAAACTCTTAATCAAACACAATATAAATAAATATTTAGTACCAATTGCTAAGGTGTGTTTGGTAACGTTTATGTTTTCAGTTTATATTTACAAAATTTTATTAAATTGTTTTATTTATTTTTTGATTATTTTAGAAAAACATAAACTACAAACGCGTTTGATAATTGACAAAATGTTTAAAAAAATTTAAAAATATATAAGAGTGAGAAATGGCAAATGGTGCAAGTGGCGGCGGAAGACGGTGGTGAAAAGTGGTGACGGTGGGTGGTGGGTAGTTGTTGTAGTGATATAGTAGTAGTGGCGGGTGGTGGTGGTGGTGTGGTGGTGGTGGGGTGGGTGGGTGACGATGGCAGGTGGTAGCGAGTGGGTGATGTGGTGGTGGTGGCGAGTGGTGGTGGGTGGCGATGGCGGGCGATGGGTGGATGGGTGACGGTGGCGGATGTTGGGTGATAGCGAGGGGTGGTTGGTGGTGTGGCGGGTGGTGGTGGCAAGTGGGCGGTGGCAAGTGGTAGCGGATGGCGGTTGGTGTGGTGTGGCGGGTGGGTGACGGTGGTAGGTGTAGCGAGTGGGTGGTGTGGTGGTAGTGGTGGCGGTGGTGGTCAGGTGGGTGGCGGATGACGGGTGGTGGCGGGTGGTGGTAGGTGACGGTAACGGTGACGTGCAGTGGTAGATGGTAGCGAGTGGGTGGTGGTTGTAGTGGTGGTTGATGGATGTGGTGGTAGTGGGGTGGTGGTAATGGTGTGTGGTGGTGGTAGTGGGTATGGTGTGGTGGCGGTGGTGGCTGGTGTTTGGTGGCAGGTGGTGGATGGTGTAGCAGGTGGCATGTGAGTGGTGGTGGCAAAGTAGGTGGCTGTGGTGTGGCGGGCGGTGGATGGTAGTGTCGGTGGATGTTGGTGGTGTGCGGTGGCGAGGGGGTGGTGGTGTGCGAGTAGGTGTGGTGGCAGGTGGGTGGTGAGTGTGGTGGTAGGTGGTGGTGGGGGTGGGTGCTAGTGTTAGTGTCTGGAAGACGGTGGTGGAAAATGGTGGCGGGTGGTGGCTAGTGTTGGGTGGTAAAAAAAAAAAACTGAAAACTCAAAACGGAAACACAGTTTTTGTATTTTCATTTTTTGGACAAATTTATAAACTGAGACCACTGATTTATAAATCAAAAATTTTATCAAACAAGTTTTTATTTGAGTTTTTAAAATTTTTATAAATATAAATAGAAAACTGAAAACGTAAGTGTTACCAAACGACACCTAACTATTTGGATGTATTTTCAACAATTTTCAACTCCAATGGTATTGCTAAGTCATGTGTTAGTGTCGCCGGATGTTGGGGGTGTTTGTTTCAGCTTTTCAGAGCCAACTTATGACTTTTAGTTTTGAAAAAGTTATTTTAGACTGTTTGGTTAAACTTATTTCAAACAGCTTCTGATTCTAACAGCTTATTTTAACTCAAAAAGCTGATTCTGAGAAGCTGCTCACCCCTTGCTTCTGATTATCAGCTTCTACTGTGGACATGTTAATTTATGGTTATACTCTTAAATTTTTTTATTTTTTTATTTTTTTAAAAATAGAAAAAGACTCAAATGGACTATAGATTATTATTATTTTTTTTTATGAGAAATGTAGACAAACAAAAAATAAAAATTAATTGAAAAAGCTATTTCACAGCTTATTTAGCAAACACTACTCAGTAACTTAAATCTATAATCCAACAGTTACACCAAACAGATTAACAACTTCTGATTAAAGTCATAATTTATAATCTGTTAAGTTATAATTTATAAGCTGTTTTAACAGCTATACCAAGCGGGGCCGTTATCTCAGAAGCCAACTGTGGCGAGTGAGAAAGGGAGCTGCTAACTACAGCAGTGGTCCCAATGTACTTTAGTTAGATTTTTAATTATTTTACTCATTTTATATACATATTTATATATACTAATTGGATCTCCGTGCACTACGCATGGGGTCGCATTGCAATTAATTTTTTTAAGTTAACTTCATATGTAAAAACATAGTTACATTTCTAGTTATACAATTGGTGATATTATTCTACATATCAAGATGTTCAAAACATTGAATGTGTCAATTAATCAAGTTTATATATATATATATATATATAAACTATTAAAGGTACTGTTCCTCTTAAAAATAAT